CAAGGCAGGCGCTTTTGCCGCTGAGCTAAATCCCCAGCCCCTGTTCTTTTTAACTAAACTGTTTTTTACTAACAGTCGTTTCTTCTACACTAAAACCTCAGTATGCAGATTTAATTGCAGTGTGGGCATTTGTAATGAGTAAGTGGGTTTGGGGTTGCAGTTTGGGCACTTGATCTGTAACAGGTTCACAATCATTGCCTCAGTGTTTTCCCTCATGAGCTTGGGGAAGGTTTCATGGCAAAACTTCTAAGCAGCTTCATTCTCTTCAGCCATTTCTCATTCTTTAATGATGTCCTTTGATGGAAATTTCACTTGCTTCCAATTTTCTCATCATACACAGTATTTCAGTTAGTATCTTCCTATGCTTGCTATTTGCACAGGTGTCTGCAGACAAGCAGGATAAATTCCTAAGGGTGTGGCCTGTGAGTCAAAGGGCACTTGCACTGTGATTTTGATGGATCTGGCTGCAGCACCTCACACTCTGACAGTGCTCTGTGCTCTGTGCTCTGCAGAATTTGCTTGTGCAATGCACATTTGCTCTGTGATAATCTGAGACTGGAATCTCTGCACATCTCTTTATTTCGTATCACTGCAGTTTTCCTTTCCCTCGACTGTCTGTTCCTTCCTCTGCCTATCTTTGATCGGTCTTCACTTACTAGTTTTAAACAGGACTGTGTATATTAAATAACATCAATATGTCTTAGGAGATACACATAATTTCCTGGTTTATCTAGATTTTATTTCTTTCCTTGTGGTATTTTCATGTGGATTTTTTTCTCTTCCTTTCTCTTATTTTGACATCACTGTGTTTGAATCTTTTCCTTATGTCATAGTAGAAATATCTTCTCTAAATTTTGAAAGTGATTCTCCATATGTTTTCTTCTGTTTCACCCACCCCTCTCTCTGTCCTGCCTCACTGACCTGTCTGAGTGCCTGTGTCCCAGTGCTATACTGGTGGAAATCTCAGCACTGTCTTAGCAGCTCTTCTCTGCTTTCTTTTCCATACTGGACAGTAGTAAAAGCAGCACCCACATCTGGACATTTTCATGTGCTTCCATAGGCCTGCCATCTAAAGCTAGGCTTGCCTCATTTTTGATTGTACATAAGTGGAATCAGCCAGGCATAGTGGTGTATGTCCGTAATCCCAGTACTCAGGAGGCAGAGACAGGAGAATCGCACAGAGTTCAAGGCCAGCCTGGGCTACACAGTGAGTCCAGGCCAGCCTGAATGACATAGTGAGACCCTATCTAAAAAAAAAAAAAGAAAGGAAAAAAGAAATTAGAATCCTGTATTGTGTGTTTTATTGAGCTGATATCTAAGGTTTACCTGTGTCATGGTGTGCGATTTCAGTTTATTTCTGTGGGTTTCTAAAATCGGGATTAAGTTAGTTACAAATTAATTGCACAAGAATTGATATATTTATGATGTTGAATCTTCTGGGCTTACAATTTTCTATGCCTTTTTATTTGTTTAAGGTTGTTTAAGGTCACGTCACCACTGTCTTACCAGGTTACATAATTTCTCTGCGGTAGCTGGTTTTGGTTTGATCTGTTGTTTGGTTTAAGTTGCATGATTCTGAAATGGCTGGTTTCAGAGGCTTTGCCTGTGTGGTCATTGATTTCGTGGGACAGTGAGTCCATCAGCTCACTCAGTGCCCATAGGGTCTATTTTAAGGTTAAGTTTTCTTTTATCATTATGGCTGTGGGAGAAAGATGTGCCCATTTAACAGTTAGGTAATGTTTAGTCCCCTTTAAAATCTGTGCACAAGTTCTGCAGTCATTACTAAGAATACTCTTTGGCTTCCATTATTTCGATTAGGTTCTTCAGAGACACTACGTAGGTTAAGAAAAAAGAATTTTTTTAAATCCTCCAGAAAACACACATAGGATACACTCTGATCTTTACAAGGTGTAAGTGAGCTAATTAGGTGAGAAGAGCTGTCGTGTGGGGGGGACGAGCTTTTTGCAATATTGACTTCGCCGTTTTGAAGTCCTGACTTTGCAACACAGTACTCGCAAGGGGTGTTAGTTTACTGTATTTGAAACGGTGTTCTTCTGCCACCTAGTGGTAAAAATGAGTAAAAGCCACTCTGCTTTTCCTTTTCTGATTCGTCTCCCTCCTCATGCCCTTTGCCCTCCTCCATGCGCTCATAATAGTCAATGTTTTCTACTTCAAACTCTACTTTAGAACTATAATATGCAGTTGAAAGAAAGAAAATATATTACTTATGTTCTCTGTTTATGCTTAGGCAGAGCCCAGCACATTTGGGAAAGTATCATTCTACATAAGGGAGTTTCTCTTTAACAATCTTCTTGTATTTGTATATATAGTATGTTTAAATACAGGAATCTGAATGTATGTCTATGTTATAAATATTGGGGGCATCAAGAAGTGCAAACAAGAGGTTCTGAAAAGCAGCTGGGTAGGGAGATTTCAGAGCCTTTCGAAATTAAAACCAGGACAACGATGCCAGCCAGGAAAGTAGAGCAGAAGACAAGAAGCATCCTTAAGTGTCTTCATGTAAAAGCTAATTGTCAAAATAAAGGCAATTATCCAAACGAACCATGCCCATCCTTAGATGCGGCCCAGGCCATGCGAGAGTCCTGTAAGGAGAAGCTTACTTGGGTTGCCACTTCCCCACTACGGAAACATTCTTTTCATACAGTGCAGTGGGGCAGGTGCCGTGTCTCCATGTCCCACCCATGAAGCTGCTGTGGCTTTGTCACCTTGGGTCACTCCCGGGAGCTGAGTCCTCCTGACCGCTTTTATTCTTTGCACTTGGCCTCTTCTTTGTCGTATGACACTAGGAGCTACTTCTTCCTTGAACTGCTTCTTTGTATATTTGGTAACATCAGACTCTTTTCCTTGTCTTCTATTTTCTCCTGCCTGTGCTCTTAGTGCCTGCAATGTGTAGTGAGCAGACTGTCTCTTAGAGTCTTACTCTAGAGGGCATGGTCATTTCCTTTCATAGCACGGCCTGTGATCGCTGCTAAGTGCATGTGTCTGCGTCAGATAGCTCCCGCGCTCTGAAACCATACTCTTCTCACTGCTCCTGAAAGCCCCCAGGGAACTCAAATTCAGTGTAGTCATTTTGTGTGCTAACTCTCAATAACTAATTTTAGGGCATAGTCACGCCAACGAAGAACTGAAATCCTTTAGGCACCTCATTCCTCTACCACTGCATTGCATTGGCTCCTTAAGCCCTAAGTCACATCTGGTCCTCAGCACCATGTTCCTTTCTGCTGGCTCAGGTGCTCAGCATTTCCCCCTGTGCCACTAACATAAAGCCTCCCAGTGCCTCCCCATTGCCTAGGACATAGTCTGAAGAACTCCATCTGTCCCGGAAGCTGACTTCTGCTGACTTCATTAAATTGCCTATTGCCCTATTCTCCCTTCTTACCTTCTAGGCATGTTAGACATTTTCTTTGGCTTGGCACGTTTCCTTTTCCATACTTGTATCTGCTTAGACAGCCACTCACATTTATGAAATGTATCTGGAAAGTGAATCTTGAGCCCAAGAACCCATCTCCCTGGGCTCCCTGACATCTCCCTTCCTCCTGTGTCTCCAATTCGGTATTCCAGCACTTTCATGTATCTGGATCCATAGCACCCACATTCCTGTTAGAGCACACAGCGCATTTCATTGCAAGTCTCCTCTTCATGGTTTGTGAACTTCTTCACAAAGGACTGTATTCATGTTTACTTTTTCAGTCTTTGGCAAAATGCCTGGCACACAGAGAGTGCTCACTAAATATTTGATGATTCGGGGCAGATGAACAAGGACACTTCCCCAGGGTAGGAGCTGGCCTGGCACATGGTCATTCTTCATGCACCCACGTCTGTAGAGGTGACCCTGAGAAGTGGGTCTTCAGTATGATGGGTTGATTCATGTTACACATTGAGGAGACACACAAACACCTTTATAACTTGTAGGAGAAAGCCGTGGCCTTACGTCACTTCCACCAGTCACTCTTAGATGAAACTGTAGAACAGGACTTAGAATAGCTCAGACGGAGAGCAGACACACGAGGCTGTTGCTGTGACCCAGTGTTCCTCCATTCTCTGGGCCTTTCCTCAGGACAGGCTCCTCCACATCTCACTCCAGCTTGGGAAATGGGCATGCCTTCTCCAGGCCTGGCCAGCGAAGCTACCAGTGATGGTGCTGCAGACCAGCACCAAGAAGCCAGGCCTTCTGCAGAAAGACATGTCAGAAGAGTGACGTGTTTGGGAAGATGAGGCAGATATGGTTGACACGGGGCAGCCTCTTTGGTGCTCATCGAGTCTTCTAATCTTTTTCTCAGGGTCTCAAACACACAGGGCTTCCTCTGCTCATTTCTAAGGAGGCATTGTTCCCTTTTGACTGCCCTTTTCCAGAACCTGCTCTCAGCAGAGAATCTCAAGGTATCTACTGTAAATCATGAAATATAATAATAGCTGAAAGTTTATTAGTTCAGTGGTCCCATCTCGTGGGTCTTCCATTTAAACAGCAGAGAAAGACTTAGACCCGTGGTTGGTTTAAAGAGCCAATTGCTGCCTGGGGTGATATAGAAAATAGACACAGGGCAAAAAGCCTAATTAAAACTTCTGAAATTAGGAGAAAAAGGGCACGGGGGTTGGGAGGGGGACTCAGTGCGAACCCACGAGGTAGCAGAGCTTTTGGAGTCCAGGAAATGCAGCGACATTGGCGGTGGTCGGGAGAAATTATTTTAAGTGCTGTGTGGTAGGATCTTGAGTTTGTGTAAATCTATTAGTGGCGTCGCAGGCAAAAAAGAACCTAGCCAAAGGATATGTCTTTGTCTGTCCCTTCCACACGAGAACACCCTTAAGGAGAGTCGGGGAGAAAGGGAGGGATTGCTGCAGAGCGGAAAGAAGAGAGGCCCAGGGTCTCTGAGACCCCGCGCAGCCCCCAGGAAGGGCCGGGCGGGCTCAGGGAGGGGCCTCGGGAGCATCCTCTGCGCGGTCGCCGCGGAGCACGATGGGAAAATCCCTCCTCCCTCGGACATGGCGCCCACCTGCCCGGCAGCAGCAGCGGCCTCGGGCGCCGCGGTCGGCGGGTCCGGGCCGAGAAGCAGCTGGGGCGGCAGCGGCAGGGAGGGCGGAGGCGGGGGTGGCGGAGGTGGGCCCGAGCTCGCACGGTAGAGCCCAGGGCGTAGAGGGCTTGACCGGGCGCCGCCGGGATGGTGTCCCAGGTACTGCAGCTGCTTCGGCAGGGCGTGTGGGCCGCGCTCACCGGCGGCTGGTATCACGACCCCGAGCAGAGCAAGTTCACCAATAGCTGCCACCTGTATCTGTGGCTGTTCCTGCTGCTCTTGCCCTTGGCTCTGCACCTGGTGAGTCTCAGGGCTCAAGGCTGGAGGAGGAGGAAGCGGGTGGGAGGAAGGAGCACAGACCACAGTGGGCTTGCCGTGGAGGGAGGCTGGAAGGGTTTGGAGACAGATGATGTGCAGGGGGCCAGGGGCTCACCGGAAGGGAAAGACCTAGGAAGGACTTCAGGGGCTCCTGACTCACTAAGAATCAATCTCCTAAGTCAGGATGAGTCAGACTGTGCCCTTGGCTGGAGAATATTGAACTGTCCTGTAGATGCCCAGGCGAGGCCTCATGTTTGCTTAGTTTGGGGACCGTGTTTAGTATAAATTATTGCACTTGATAACCAAAAGGCCAAACAGAATGTTAAGTGCAAACCTGCTCCGGTAATGGGTCTCTCTCCCTCTTCCCTTTCTATTTTTGCTTTGAGAAGGCAGGTGCAATGATCAGGTACTCACCTTGCAGTCTCCACTCCACTGGGAATAGACATCAGCAGTGATATAGTGATGGATGAACCCCATGTGCTTTTTGTTAAGTAGAGTAGTACAGCATCTTGTTGGGCTGGATGGGTGGTAGGGTCCTGATGGTGAGTGTTTGCTGAGTAATTACATACTTCACCTTCTTGGGTAAATTAGTTATACCTAATTGAGACAGTGGTGGACCATATTTGTAAAGATGCATGTCATTAAACTTTATGCACCAAGAATTAAATTTGATATATCTCTTGAAGGGCTTTATTCCTAAAAACATTATTTGATCATGTTCTCCACAGCAAAAATCTTTAGTGAGCTGGCATAGCTGAAAGATCCTATGCTTGACACCCCAGGTTATCAGTGGCTTTGCTCTTTTTCTCTGAGTGTGTCTGAGAGTCAGAGTTTTGCTTCCAAAGTCCAGCCATCTGGATCACACTTTGGATCTGCCACTTCCTAGGTCTGTGACCTTGGAGGAAGCTACTGACTTGGATATTTCATTTTCATATCTGTAAAGTTAGAAAAAACAGTCATATCTGGTTTAGGGAATTGTCTGGGGGAATTAAATGAAATGGTGCATGTAAAGTCACATGATTGACAGGACTCAGTCCTGGCCTTATGCTTCTCTTCTATTATTTATTAGCTAATATTTAACCTCACATTGGACCTATTTAAACCTTGCTTTCTCATTGTTATACAAGTATGATAATGGTCACTTCACAGAAAAATTAAAATTATATATGAAAAGCCTTCAATAGATGCCACTTTCCTTCTTCTGTGGTTTTTGTGTGTCATTTTTTCCTCAGTCCATGGCCTCAGTGCTTTTTCTTTGCCTAGAATGGGAGTTTGGCAGATTCACGAGGCTCACATTTCTGGATTCACATCCTGCTTCTGCTACTGCTTAACTGTGTGAACAGAAGCCAGCTTCCCCAAGCTCCAGCCTCCTGGTTGGCAAAGCAGGGAGGATGACAATCCACTCCTTATAGGATACATGTGAGGACCGAGGGAATCAGATGATGAACTTACTCCTTAGTACCTGGCACATGGTAGGTGCTTAATACAGTGTGTCTTTCATTTTCCTTCCCTGCCATCCAGACTCTATCCTTCAGAACCTGGTGAGAGAACATCTCTGTCTCAGCTTCCCTGAATCTGGTCAAATAGGCTCAATTTCTCCTCTCTCTTACCCTTATAATAATCTTTCTTTACATTAGTGTTATGGCACTTTTTGAATTCTTTTGTGTGCTGACTTTTTAGAGCATATATGTGTTTTACCTCTACCCTTAGATCATGAGGATTTTGAAGGTATGGATTTTGATTTGTTTATCCACGTTGGTTTTCCTTGTTCTGCCTGGCAGAATACTTTGCACTTGGCCCGCACTGTTCTCATATATATTGAACAGGTCCATGTCTTTCTATTCTAGCATCATACCCCGCTTTTCCTGATAACAAAAGCAATGTCTACCCTATCTATAACCCTGCTGCTCACCAACAGGCACACTGACATTTAATGTATGTTTCTCCCGATGATTGCTCTGTGAATATTGGCTCACTTTTACAAAATTTCATACTACATTTCATGTATGTATAAGATCGAGCCCTTAACTTCTACCTAACTTCTACTTACTTTATTCAGGAGCTTGATTCCTATCTTATTTTTGTAAACAGGAAGTTTCTTTTAGTTAAGTTCCTACTTATATCATTACTTGAAAATAATTTTTGTATCTTTACATCAGTGAGCCAAAAGTTGTATATGGGTGCACTTACTGTGATGTTACCTTTTAATACGTGGCCTGTCTTATTTACAAAAAAAGTTGGGTTACCCTTTCCTTAACCCGGTCTCTGATCTTTGAAAGTTCTTTTAGAAAAGAAAGTCCCTCCCTCAGCAGAAGGTCTGCTTTCAGGTCTTGAGGCTCAGATATATTTCTCTGCACCTAAGGGTTGCCTGTAATCATTGACATCTTTTTCAGTTTGTTTCACTTACAGGAATTCTTCCAAAAAAGATGCCTGGGTGCTCACTAATAGCACAGTGGGGTCTTAGTCAAATTTCTGTTATTTAACATGTCCTGAACCTTCCCAGCTTATGCACAATTTTAGTTTAAACATGTTTAATCAAGACAGTTCCACTTTTGGGAAAATCTATCTTTTAATTTAATAAGGATCTGGAGTATTTAAATAGAAATTTGTATTAGCTGCTATCAAAAGAAACATTTCTAAGCCTTACAATTTCCCTAGACTATCTGATGGATAATGTGGGAACTCACTACTTACTAGTATTTATAAAGGATTTCTATATTTACAAGTCACATGGCCACATGGAAGGGAGAGTGCAGTCTTACCATGTGCCTGAGAGAAAAGCTGGACACATCCGCTGGACAGTGTGGGTATCCATGGCTGCAGATAGGGCGTTAGGGAATCCACAGGAAAACAAGATAGACTGGCACATATCTTCCCCAGCAAGTTAGGAGATGCACATTCTGCTGTGAGCAGTGGAATGATGATTGCTGTTGTTGAGGGGTAGTTCAGGTCTCTCTAGTGAGGTGAGGGGTGCCGTTCTGGATCTGGCATTGAGAGAAGGCTTCCCAGGAGGCATAGCTGCTCATTTAGGGCCCAGTGACTGGCCAGGAGTTTGCCTGGCAGGGACAGTGCAGAAGGAATAGCTTCTCCAGCAAGGAGAATGGTATGTATTTAGCTGTCAGTTGAGCGTCTTGATGAATCCAGTTTTACTGTGGTTGTTGAGACAGAGAGGTGGCAGTGAGGACTGCAGTGGGAAGGTTACAGGGCACCATTAGCCAACCCACATTTGCTTGGCCTGCACACTGTGAGAGGTGTTGAATGGTTTTCAGCAGTGGTAGGACACAGGCTAATTTATGTTTTGCAAAATTTCTGGCTACACTTTGGAAAATTGCTTAGAGAAATAGTGCCAGAAAGATGACGTTGGTCTGCTCTCCTGTCTCGTCCTGCATTAAAAATTCATTTCCAGTAATTCAGTAGATGTACAAAATGGCTGTCCCATTGTCAGGGCAGCTTGAGTCTAACATTTATTCAGGTCATAGGAGTTATTGGCTGGTTATTTCTGACGCCTCATATCAGAACCTGATCCTGTGCTTCCTGCTGGCCACATTTGCGGATCACATTTAACTCGGGGAGGGGCAGATGACAGAGGTCCGGAAGTGGGTCTCCAGGTGAGGAGGGGCAGGCAAGGACACTCACTGTCAATGTCGCTTTGACGCTGTCTCCCCGAGTAGTCCTCCCACTTTCTCTCATGGATGGTGTGGCTGGATCTGCTCTCCAGGGCCCTCTTCATTGAACACTTCTGCTTCTGTTAGAGAAGTGGAGCCCTTCTGTGATTTCATAGTTTGGGTGTCCCTGTTGTTTGTCTTGTGGTCCTGGTGTGTTCCAGGCAGAATTCCTCTCGGGAGAGTTCTCCAAGGATTCTTGGGAGAACCCGCCATTTCTGCAGGAAGCCCTGGTGCCTTGGATGAACTGGCATTTGGAAGCCAGAATTTTTTTTTTTTTTAAACCAGGAATCGAGCTCACAACCTCATGCTTGCCAGGCAGGTGCTGTGCTGCTGAGCTACATCCCTGGCTGGAAGCCAGAATCTAGGGCAACAGTTGATTTGTTTTTGCCTCCAGAACTTACCAGTAAACAGAGCTGGGGCACTGACTGATCTATTGATTGAGTGATGAGTCAATGGAGAATTTATTCTGACACTTTGAATCCAGTTGAGACACAAAGGATCTTCTCTCATTCCACATTCTATCTTATTTATCCCATGGTGCAAACTCTGGCTCACAGCAATCTTATCTGCTCAATCCAGAAATACACACAGGAATCATCACCCCCACAACACTAGCATAGACACATCTTTAAGTAAAGTCCAAGATTGCTCAGAAGTAATTATTATTGTGCTTACTTTGGCAGCACATATACTAGAAATTATTTTTAAGTAAATTCAAGATTGCTTAGAAAAATTATTATTTTTGGAATTAACCCTACCAGAGTATTGTGTCCTAGCATGACTTGGATCAGTCCTTTCCTTTTCTTATTGTTCTGGTTCTTCATTGTGATTATGCTATTAATCTGATTCAGACTTTTAGTTTCATCTCTGTATATATAGTTTTAGTTTTATTTTCCCATCTTTGTTGATTTAATAATTGTCGAAGGTGTAAAACCCTGACATGTTTCAAAAAACATGATAAACTGTGATGGCTTGCTTTATCAAAGAGTTCGTCTGACTGCTGAATGGAAAGTAGATCAGAGAGAGCAAAAATAGAAGTGGATGGCTCACAGGCTGTTTCAGTCTCCCAGCTGAGACGTGAGGGTGGCATCAAAGATGGGGGGCACGTGGATAGGTTCTAATGGAACTTAGCAGTCAGTTCACTTTTGGTGGAGAAGTGAAAGTGAAGGAAGAATCCTGGGTCTTCAGATGCCTAGGTGACTGGTTTGGGAGAGGACGTTAGAGTTTGGGAAATCAAACAGCTGGGTTTGCAGTCATTCGGAGTTTTCCTCTGTACATCAAAGTGCGGGAACCTAGATACTTAGATGTAGGTATTTAGAGCTTAAAGGAACAGCCAAGCTAGAGATGTGAACTTGAAAATTGTCAGCATAAAGATTGGGTTTCCTGTGAAGGGCCTCAGGGAGAGCTGCTGGTAACTGTGGATAGAGAAGAGGGTGCCTCTGTGCTCCAAGAGCATTTGTCCAGAGGTAGAAAGAGAAGAGCACCTCAGCCTGAGCAACTGTGTTGCACATTGCTGAGAACAGAGGAAATTGCCCTGGTGTTTTCGTTAGCGATGTTGAGATCATTGTCCATGAATGTTGGGAAACAGAGGCCAGATGCTCCGAGACCCAGAGGCAGTGGGAGGAGAAGGAATGAAAACAGTGGAAAGATGGGTCTTGATGCTAGACGCACAGGCGTGGCACCATCCCTGGGGGTCAGTGGGGCTCCCCTCCCCGAGGTTGGAGGATCCAGGGGCTGGAGCTGGGTGAAATCCCCCGAGGTCCTGGCCTGGCGCTTCATGCACGGCAGGTCATCAAAGTGCTTTGCCCATTAATGTACAGTACTGTGACTGCGTAGGGGGAGCACAGTTGGTAGCTGTCTGCCAGTCTGCATTTAGCCTGAGTTAGAAGGACGTGGCCTGAATCCAGATCCTTAAAAACAGAGTTTCAAAATACAGTGCTCCATGCCCTCTACCACACTCTGGAGACCAACTTAGTATCCAGCAAATAGCCAGTCAAAAACATAGGAGAACAAATAAATATCTATAATACTATTGTTATACTTTTTTCTCAGTTTAGCATGTTGGGTAACATTTGGAATTATGAAAAAGTGACAAATAGCTGTCAAAGAAATATACAGTCAATAAATACAAAAAATTATTTTACTCACAGCTGAAGAAGTCTATATTAAAAGGATTTTGCATGTCTAGACAAAAAAGATTTAAAAGACAGCACCTGCAATAGATCATAATATTATGATCTATTTTAGGCGAGGGATATAGCTACCAGGCGGGTGAGAAGGTAGTGACCTCCCTGAGAATGTGAGATTGGAAGAAGCGGGGCAGGGCATAGCAGTGCGGCACGCGGAGGAACATTTGGGGAGATCCTGTGTTCCATTTGCAGGGCCTGAGGAGGAGCAGTGCTTACAGGAATCAGATCAGAGAGTCTGGTGGAGGAATGGGCCATACCTGCATTCTGGAATCCTTGTCTTTCTGGGAAGTTTTCAGTAAATCTCTCCTCTCATTGTGGCCTGGTGAGGTGTAAGGGCTTCCTGCAGATGTGACGAAGTGTCCTCTCATCAAGGAGGAGATAAGGAGATAAGGAGGAGATAAGGGCATATTCTTTGCCAACTACGCACGAATGCTCATACTAACTTCCAATTCTGACCTCTTGCTTTCCCCTAATTTCAACCTTAGGCAGTGGATGCTGTAGTATGAGGATAAATCAAAATGTAGTCTCCCTTCTTTTTTTCAAATGAACTTCCCAGTGAGCCCTCCATATCCTTTATCTCTCCCCTCTCTCCCCAGCTTCTCTTCCAGGGTCAGAGAGCTTTCCAGTTTCTGTCTGCTCTGATGTGAATGGGCTCCTCCTCATGGAAACAGAGCCCCAGGGTCCATCAGGCTGGCTATAGGAAGCAGAACTCAAACCTGGGGTTCAGTGAGTCAGGTTGTTTCCCTCTTCTTTGAGTCTATCTTAAACCTTTAGGGCTTTGCTCTACGGGTTTCCTATCCCCAGGCTGAAGGAATCTTCATGGCCTTTTAGAAGCATCATTTGGAGAACCGTGGCCCTGGGGTCACATGGATAAACTGTGAGGACAGATGGAGGTGTCGGGCCCTCAGTTGTCCTGGCTCCACACTTCTGCCCACTGTCTCTGGCCTGAAGCCCAAACAAAGCCACAGCCAACTGCAGGAGAGGGTGGGAATACAGAGAAGAGGAGGGAGCTCCAAGGACTGCTCTATCTGCCCCCTCAGGATCACCAAGCTCAAGTTATGTGACAACTGGGAGAAATTTTCAAACTGTTTGAAAATAATTTGTGTATAACGGTGCTGTAGTCTACTTTCTTGGCCATCTGCAGGGTTTCCCCCCTCTTATGTTATCTGTTTCTTTAACTCTCTAGTTTTAGCCTGACATTTTTTCCTCAGAATTGGGCATTAGACTCGGGGCCTTTGCACTGAGCTACATTGCCAGCCCTTTTTAATTTTTGAGACAGGATCTCATTAAGTCACCAAATTTCCCAGGCTAGGCTCAAACTTTCAGTCTTCCTTCCTCAGCTTCCCAGCATGTTAGGATTACAGGTGTGTACCACCATTCCCAGCTTTTAGCCTAAACTTTTAAAACTGCAGAAAGGCAAAAAAAAAAAGTGAGGGCTATTAGTGTCCTGTGCTTCCAACTTGCCTGTGTGTTCCAGACATTCCTCCCAGCTTTGAAGCAGAGGTGTGCGTGTAAATATGAGACTTACCTGTTTCCAGGGAGGGCCTGACTTTGCCTCTAATCTGGCTAACAGTGTTTTATTATTCATTCATGTGCATATTAATTTGTATTTACTTGTAGACTTTACTCTGCGATGGTGAAGGTTCCTCTTCATCATTTCTTGTTGGTGATAGGTATGCTTTGTCTTCATGCATTTTTTTGTTTGACCTTCTGTTGGAAGGACTGATCCTCACGTGGACCTTGCCAAAAGTCCTTGTCAGCTTTCCATTGCTGTGACAAAATGTCTGAGAAAAACAACTTAGAGCAGGGAAGGACTGTTTCCCTGGCTCCCTTACAGTGGCCTGAGCTGAGGCAGAATGTGGTAACAGAACAAAGCTGCCTTGTGGCAGTCATGAGGCAGAGGGTTCTTTCTCCTCGTTTTATTTCATCCTGGCCCCTAGCCTGTTGGATGGTGCCACCCACATTCAAGGTGCTCCCTGCCCACACCCTAGTTTGCTCTTCCACATGCCAGTCATCTCTGGAATCACCCTTACAAACACCATCAGCAATGTGCTTTGCTGATTTCCTAGGCATCTCTAATTCAATCATGCTGACCACCGAGATTAGCCATCACCGTGCACAGAAGCTTGCTGGGCATGGTAGTCCATGGGCCTGGCTGTGCTTAGATTCATGGATCAGCAGGTTGTAGAAATCCTCCTGGGGGACCCATGGGAACAGAGGCTGGCCTTGGTACTCTCTCTAGATGATTGCATCCTGTGTGCGTCCCAAGGGATGAGAATCAGTTTAGGAAGAACAGGAGGCCCAGTGATGGTCCATGGTCCTGGGAGAGACCTGGGGACAGTTACATGTGTCCCAGGGACTCTCTTTGTTCTTTGAGGGGATAGGACAGAACTGAGCAGCCTTCTCCAGGGTCTTTTGTGACATTGGAGATGTCCCAGCCTGCTGTGGCAAACCTAGTGGAAGGTTGGGGAGGGCAAAGAAGGGAATGGCCCAGACCTTGCTCCTACCTTTCTCTCTAGAGCTCCACACTGACTCTTGTGTTTTATGAGGCCTTTCTCTGGCCAGACACACAGGGTGACAGAGTCACTGCACACAGGGGCTAAAGGAAAGGGCTGGGGACTTTCCTCTGAAATGTGCTTTACTCTGTAGGGCTCCTGCCTGCAGATCACATGTCGGTCATCATGGTGACTGAAAAGAACTGGAGAAATAAGAAAGATACCCAGTAACAGCAGCTCTCTCTCCCTGGGCATTTTAACTGGGACAAGTCACTTAACTAATAAATGTGAAATCCCACCCAATTTATGCTTAACAAATTGTCCAAAGATTTTTCCAGATTTAAAACAAAAAGAAAGCAATTGTTTTCCTCTTTCCTCTTCTTTAGGCTTTCCCGCCAACCGTGATAACTGCGTTGTTCTACTGCAGCTCTGTGACTCTGCTCTTCACAGTGATCAAGGTGGTCAGCTACCGCCTGCACCTCATGTTTGACAAAGGAGAGGTGATCCAGCAGAGGTCCCCCGGGCAGATGGAAAAGCCAAAGAAAGGCAGAGAGGCCAACAGTGAACACGCCACGAATCCCAAAATTCCCAGGTAACCTGGCCAGTGGATGCGTCAGCTCGTCTTTGAAATGTTTTGGTTTAGATTAAAATGATGTTTCTCATTCATTACTTATTTATGAAAATATATCTATATACTTATGCTTAAGCATAAAATTGACTTCCATAGTCAAGATGGCTTAACTGGCTCAGTGTGACCTTATTCCATGACTTCAATAAAATTCAGTTGCCTTAGATTTAGTGTTGCAAAATACTCTACTTTAGTATTATCTATCTTGTTATTTAGCATGCCAGAGTGTTAAAGAATAATATTTGTGTTTGTTGATATAAAAATATATTTTGCCTAAGATTGAAATATTAACAGAACTCTTGGAGAAGCATTATTGTGACCATTCTTGTATTATTTGTTACTGTTCCTTAAGGAAGTCCTCTAATAATTTTAAAATAATGACTTTTACTCTCTCTTAGAAATAAGATTTGTGTATAAGGGAAATGACCAGTTTTGGGAAGAAAACTTCCCTCATTTCTAAGGGAAGAAACCAGTTTTGGATGAATACTGAAAGTCGTAGTTGTGCTTGGTGACATCACTGCTTTTTGTCTCCTCTCGTTTGGATCAGCAATACCAGGCCCATTCACAGCAGCAAGAAAGAAGAGATGGGCCGGAGTGTCCCTACACCTCCCCTCCACTGCAACTCCCGAGGGCACAGCCTCAGCTCGCACCGCTCCTCGGGGCCACCGGTCTGTGGGCTTTTTCCAGTTTCACCTTCCTGTGGCTCGTGTGGGACCCTGGGATGGCAGCAGTTGTAGCTGTGCCACTGGGTGGATTCCTCAGGGTGTGGAAATGGTCAAAGTGCGCTCTTGGGACCATCAGGCAAACACCGAGTCCTGTGTTCAAAGCGTGCCCACAGCCCCCTCTGTTGCCTTTTTTTTTTTTTTTTTTTTGGTTTTTCTCTGGTACCGGGAACC